GTGCTGTAACCGCTAAGGAAGGGCAAGGAAACTGCTGCTTCCTCTGCTCATGCTGTGTAGTAGAGATGTTGCCCTTCCTCATGAGAGCAAAGGGGTAGGCAGGGCAGAGCTCAGTATGCTGAACTGCAGATGAAAAGCAGGGCCTCCTGATGCCCTGCAGGAGCAGCCTGAGCCCCCCGACAAGGGGGAGGTTTAAGGAGCGTCTCCCTCCTCAGAGCTCCCTGGTGCCGAACCAGCTCGTGTTGCAGAGAGCAGTTTGCATGGATTGCGCTCTCTCCCGCACATTGCATGGGGAACTCGCTGAAATCACAACTGTTGCTTCTCCTGCAAAATCTGAAGACTGCAATACTTTTATGTCCTTTTGTGCAGCCCTGCTGTGCCACAAACCTAGGTCCACAAATAGATTAACAGCTTGTTCCTTAGGGGACATTAACACCACAACACTCTGGAAATACGTGCTTGTACAGAGGAAAAGTAGCATTTGGCACTGCTTTCTTCCCAAACCTTCCTCCCAGCAGGCTGCATATTAAATATACATTAACTCCCCCAATAACTACACAATTATGACAGTTGAAATAGAATTAGAGGAGCTACCATAAAGCCCAGACCCCATGTCCCACCTTCACCACAGGCTGCCAGCAGAGCAGCCATCAGCTGTGATTTGCATCTGTGCAATTGTTTCTTCTCTGAAAGGAAAAAACAAAAAGCAGGCTTGCTTGCAGACAGCTACCCTGAAAAGCTTATCAGTCACAGCAACAGCTAGGAGATATAGCCAGGGCAGCTTCTAATGTGTTCATCACCATGCTCTTAGAAGCACAGGACACACAGCACTGACAATCAGTTCCTTGCATCTCCTTGCACTTCAGCTGCTGGTGGGTTGTCTACCAGCTGTTACAAAAAGTAATACCAGCTGTAGCATATCCAAAGGCTGCACTGATATTTTTGTCAATCAATTTCTTAGTCTATTTGTATATAGAGTACACAATAAAATAGTCATACAAGAAAAAAACAGTCCACTTTCTCTAGAAAGCTCTAAGCCACCTGGGATGGTCCAACACCCAGAATCCTGTGATATATGCACTAGCATAATTCAAGAATAAATGGCATCTTTCTCTTGAATAACCAACATGCTTAGCAGGAGAAATAAGAAAAACTGTCTTCAAAATACCTGGTGTAATACACTGGCATTTTCAGAGGTTGATTTGGACTTTCAGCATTTGTTCTGGTAGCCCTAACTCAGAAATTTCAGTATATTGTATTCATTGTTTTATGTGGATCCCTTCTTTCTAAGCTAAGACCAAGCACCAAGGCAGTTAGAGTTTAAAAGATAATAATGTCTTTAGTAATAAGCCCAAGACTCCAATTTTTAAAAAATGTAGCTCTAACCCATTTGTTGCAAATTATGACTTTCTGTGTTTGCAGTGCTGTGACTATGCCGATTCCTGACGTGGGCTCATTAATAGATTATTTCCTTGTTAGCTGTAGGTAAAGCTTTGACCTAGAGCTGATTAGGGAAAAGAACTTCTGTATCTATTATCTTTTCTCTCTCATAATTAGTATAATTATGGTTCTGTGCCCCAGACAGCAGTCTCAGACAGTCTGCTATGGAGCCACAGAAACCGTCTGGACTCCCAGAATGGGAGTTTGCTCTTCAGCAAGGCATAGCTGGGTTCTGTAGCGTCAGGAAAAAGCTGAATTACACCATTACATGCAAAGTAACCAAACCAGTACAGAGAGATTTCTCTTCCTCCCCACCCAGTTAAATCAAATTAATTGTGAGGAATGCAAAAAGCAAGTTTTGTCATTTCCACTTTTTTAAAGGTAAACTGGCACACCTATGAGACAGAATCAGTCAAGTGCACAATATTTCAGTTTCTAGGTGAAAATGACAGGTGTTGTTGGAGGAGAGCACCCAGCTGAAGCTGCTCTGGTTTTGACACAGTACTACAGCTTTTTAGTAACATGTTCACCTGCTCTCCATTAGCTGACAGGAGGGTTTGCAGCTGGGCAGAGTGGGTGTGACTGGGACTTGTTTGGCACTGGACTGGGGGCTGCTCTCCAGCAGTGAGGGGAGGGTTTTTCCTTCCCAGGGTGCACCTGCTGCCTCTTAAGTGAGGTTACAAAATAAGAGCAAATGAGGGGTGGCCTCTTTCAAGGTAGATCATGGCAGCTTTTAGGGGAAAACAAGTAGGTGAGTTCAGTTTAGTACCTACCACTGGTGTGTGTGGAAGGCATTGAGCAGTGTAACTGGCAAGAAATCTTGAAGCTTAAAATTGGAAAGTTTTTATGAGTGTGTTGGAGAGCAGTAACAACTGTCTTTTCTGTTGCCTCTTCCCCCTCCCACCATGTTTGCACCTCAGAGTATGCGTTACTCTTCCTTGTAGTGTGACTGCTCTGACAGGATTTAACAGGACCTTTTCTTTATGGCCTTGGATATCATTGCTCTGGTGCTTTGGAAGTGTAATTCCCATCATGAAATGGCAGCTATGCCTGACATGCAAAGCTCAGGAGAAGGGGAAAGGAGATTATGGTAGTAGGTAATTGTGAGGAGGCAGCAATTTAACTCCTTCCTTGGTCTCAGGGCTTGGGGTCTCTGCCTTATGCCTTACAGTGGAGTTTTACAGTGAGGTAGAAACAATTGGGTGTTCAGTTGAAGAAGCCTTCATCCAATTTTTTATTAATCTTGCAGCCTGAGAGATTTGTAGTCTGAATGCCTGTATCTGAAGTGAAGCTTTCTCTGAATGGAGGTGTAGTGTTTCATGCTCTTTGCCATATAATGAGAAATGTATGAGCAGCCACTGGAAGAGAAATCTCAGGCTCTGGAATACTGTTAGCCTAAGTGTTAGGATGCTTTCTTGGGAACTAAGAATTATAAAATTGGATCCCCCTCCTGATTAGAGAGGGTTTAAGGCCTAATCTACCACATCTCAGCTAAATGCCAAATTAGTCATGGTTTAGAAGCAATGATTCTTGCCTTTAAAGTAGAGCTAGAGGTGGTTTTTTTTAATCAGAGGATGTGCATCATAGACCAGTGATGCTGCTTCTACATAAAGACCTGAAGGTCCCCGGGAGGCTGGGCTCTGCCACTTCTGCATGTCCTGAGGAACCTGATTGTCTTTGAATTTTGGGTAAGCTCAGTGATTCTGTTGACACAGTCCCAAGTTCCACTCAAGGCCTAGTGTTTGGTTAGACCCTGCAGTGCTACCTGTGAAGTTGCTTGAATCCCACTGTGGCTGAATTCCTTGTTGTTAGCACTGTAAGAAAAGTAATCACTGAAGCATGTGAAAACACTGTGTAATAAAGCACCTGGTAACTGACAGGGGATAGTTGGATTTTATCTTTTTGGTTGATTGTTTTTACAGTATGACTTCCAAAAAAGAAATTTAAAAAACCCCATTAAATAAAAACATAACACAGCTGGAAAATGATAAAACCACTCTGGGTTGTGCTGTGGTGTAACTATCCATGTTCCTTCTGTGCTCCACATATGATAAAATAGCCTGGGAGAGGGTCTATACTTTCCTCCCAAGCTCCTTGCCTAGAGGTGTTCTGTGAGCAAACCCAAGGATGGGCTGTGATGAGGGGTGTGGCATCTGTTCTGGTTTGATGGGGGAGGGAATGAGTGTGAGACTGTGATTAAGGCTCATCTGATGGGCCGTGAGAAAGTGAAAGGCTTGTCTGTGTTGTCCCTGGAAACTGAAAAGGACTTTTGTGATGTATGGACAAGTCTGCTCCTGCATTTAACATTTTTCAGACACTGATTAAATGCTCTTACACCTAATGTTTTTTTCTGGGTTGTTTTGGTTTTTTTTTTAATCCAGCATTGGTAAGACTGTTTTGTTAGTGTAATAACACATTTTGGAAGTAAATATGTGATTGAGTACAAGAGCTCGTGTGTTTAAATTAGGTTGGTGTCTTGGGGCCCAAGAAAATAGGTAAAACCTCCTGTCAAGGGGAATGATGCCATTAAATCCTGGGTTACTGAAGAGAAATCTGAGATGCTGCCTGCATGAGCAAACATTTCAGGTTTCAGCTAGATCTTTACTAACTTTGGGACTGAGTTCCAGTTAAGAAGCAAGAATTAGTTGATTAACTGGCTGCTACTGACCTTTCTCTCTGTTTACTCACCCTGTTAATGCTCTCTGTGCCTTACAGAAGGAATCACAGCTTAGGTTCTGATCCTGTGGAGCTTGCAAGCATTTACTTTGCAGGGTGAAACCTCTCCCTTCAGCTGATAAGGAGCACTCTGTGTCAGCAGTGTAACTATTCAAAGTGAGCTCCTGGTTGGGCAGGGTGGAGACTTGGGAGAGCTCATAAGCAATGGTATGTCCCCGTTCCAAAGGGGACAAGCCCAGTGTGAGCAAGGCTGGCACGGAGCAGGTGAAGGAACCTGGTGATCTTACACTGTTTACACAACCTACTGCTAGTTGACCAAATAAATAAACTTGCCTGCTGACTGTATCCAGAATGAGTCAGGCCGTTTTACAAGAGGTCTGTTTTGGCTACAGAAGTGTAGGTCTTTTCTTCTTGTGAAAGATATTTAAAAAGAGTTGGGCTGTCATGCTTCCAATGTGTGAGGAGGTTCTGGAATTTTCTCCTTGGGTTTCCTCCTGTTTGCTAGTCACATTAGAGTATATTATATTTTTCCTAGACTTTCTGAATATAATTTATTTTTATTAACTATCCAGTCATCATGCCATCTTCCAGCCCAAGGGAATTAGTCATCCCCAGGTCCATTTTAACTTTCTCATTTTCAAGATGTCTTAAAATCAAAAATTTTAAGTTTGGGTGTGGCTTCCCTGTGAGAGTACTTGAAGAGATTGTTGTTCACTGACTTTCCTTTCAAAGTATCTGAAGTGAGTGACTCTATTTTTCATATTTTTTGCTTCTGTTAAAAGGGAAGATGTGAAAGGGTCACAATGCACATCAATGAATTTTGAGTCCTATATAGCATCTTGGTTTAAATCCCATTCCTTGACACTTTGTGAGATAAGCTTTTTTATTAATTTTCTTACAGGTATTCTTTTTATAATACTGTTTTCTGTAGGCATGGTAAACAGGTTTATCGAGTTTCTGTGAAGGGGGGTAGAGGGGATTAAACAAAACGAGAGGAGGAGAATGAAGAGAGCTCATAGGTATGATTCTTCTGGAAACTCTGACAAGCACTTTGGTGGCTGCAAAAGCCTGTATGATGTTCCCTTGTAGAGTCCTCTGTGAGCTCCTGTTGATGGTTGAAGGCTTTTGTTCATTTCCTGGGATTCATATCGATGGCCATAGTATTAAAGATCCACGGCAGGAAAATGTCATGACGGCATAAGCAGGTTTGGGCTTTTTTTGACTGATGGAAGGTAGTGCACAAGCATACAATTTATTAAAATATGCCACTGTGAACAGAAATAGCACAATGATAAGTAGAATTCACCTGATAGTTCTAGGAATGGCTTTTTATTTTTGCTCTTTAAATTACTTTACCAGCTGATGCTGTTGAGTCAGAGTGGTGAGCCTGGCATAAGAGGGGACAGCTCTGAAAGGTTCCTGTGAAGCTGCAGTTACAGTGCAGTGAAGTTTAAATGTCTGAGATTATTGAAATGAGGAAAACAGGATTTCTTAGAAGATGTAAGATGTCTTGTAACTGATGCATAAAAGTCTGAGTGTCCCAAGCAGAAGTAACAGCCTGGGAAATGGTGTTTACTAATGACCCTCCTTCTCTGTTAGGAGCAATCTGTTTCCAACCTGTTGTTCAAATAGATCTCTTCAGCACCTGAAAATGGATGCAAAGAAGGAAATCTTCAGACCCCTGGAGGAATTTGCAGGCTGCAGAAACTCCCAGAGCCCTGCATAGAATTGAGAGGTTTTTGTGGTTTTTATTGATGTCCTGGTAGTCCTATGCTACAGCTCTGAAAACTGAATTCTGGCTGCCGGGATCAATTTCTCTGCCATTCCCATGAATACACTTTACACTGAGGTCAGTTCCCAGGGGTTGCTCTGTAGGTAGTGCTGTCTGGTCATGGTTTGTGTTCAGGTCTCTGCTTATGAGGCCCATGGAGAAACCGGACACTCAGGAGGTTGCCTTTGCAGTGTAAATGATCCTCTTTGTCTCTGCCTGACTCCTGCGGCTTCTAACAGGCAATGATGAAATTGCATCCACAGCAAAAAACAGTCAGAGTTTCTCTCCTCAGACTGTCCTCCCTCTCCTTCCCCTTTCTGCGTTATGCCAGAATTGTGCTGTTTATCACTATTTCTGTTACAAGGGTTTTTTTTCTTTTTCTCTAAGGAGAATATTGAATGAGATGGAGTATTTTCCTTTTTCTTTCTTTCAAGCCAGCCTTTCCTCTGTCCCATACAATCCACTCAGAAATCCCCAATCCATGTCTTACTGTGACTGGTGGCAGTTACCAGATGGTGCTTCTGGTTCAGTGTTGCTTGTGTGCATCTTGGAGTAAAAACTCTGGTGAGCCTGGCTGGTGTTGTGCAAACACCGCCCAATTGTTGTACTGCTGACTAATGGGTAAGGGTGAGGGCAGTTCGCTCGTTTCTGTCTCAGTTCTTACACCTTCTGTGGTCATTCTGTAGCACTCTGCAGAGTGGCTGCATTGTCTTGCCTTGAACTTTCCCACAAATTCTATATCCACTGGCATCTTAGTGCTTTCAAACTTTATGAATTGCCTTTTGGGAAGGACCTTTGGAGAACTAGGCTGTTGCGAGAGTTTGTTGGATCTTAAAAGGGCAAGAGGGTCAGAGCAGCACTGTCTGAAATGGCTTTCACTGGCTGAGCTCAGCCCTGTAAAGCAAGGCTCTGAGAAAGCTCCGCATTTCATAACCAGCTCCCAGAATCTATACTACTTATATCCCAAAACTTAGATTTTGCAGTGTAGCTGAAATGTTTTGTGAGCAATCAAAAATTGTATAAAAAAAGGTTTACTTTGTAAATCTGTAATTGGGGAGGGGGGAGGAAAAAGAAAGCTGTTTCAATAAGTATGGAAATGGATGTTACTGTAGTCTGATGCACACTTAGTCTGCACTCAAATACTTCTCTAAGTGGCCAGCTGAGTGTTGGCTAGTTAATGTGAACTGTTAAAAAGAAGTTGAAGTACCTGTTTATATTCCAATAATCAGACGGCTTTCCAAGGATTTCAGCATGCATAGCTTGAAACCTTTTAAGGTTCCAAGAGTTTGTAGTGTATTTGGTCACGTATTTTCTATAGACTTCAAGATTTACTTCATTCTTTTGCAGAATGTTCTGAATTGGAAGGGACCCACCGTGATCATCAAGTCCAGCTCTAAAGTTGAGGGCCCTTCAGCCACAGTGATGGGAGGGGTTTCCTTTCTGCACATATGGATTTACACTGGAGGAAGAGAATTTCAGTGTCTTCACCTCTAATTATCTTACCCCAATGGGCCAAAAAATGTATTTGAGTACAAAACACCTCTTGCCCTATGGCCATTTGCAATCCCCATCAGCTCTTTGAGGTCACCGATGATGCATTGGGATGGGGCCTTTCTGCCTGTAGAGCTGTCAGCCAGTGGCAAGATGCACTTTTCAGCTTGACATTTGGGGCAGTTCACTGCAAGCTGGTAAAATTTGCATGGGGGGCTGTTTCATGCTGTTATTTGCAAGCAAGGGAATATGGTGTCCCTGTAATACTGAGAGCCAGTTCTGTTCACTGCTCTGGCTGTTGAGGCAGCTACAAGCATGGTTGTTGAATTGTGTGGCACTTCTTCAGCTGAAAGTTTATTCTGGCCAATGGGGTTTGTTTTTTTCTCCATGCCTGAACTTGATGTGATTAGAATTGGAAAGGAAACCATTTTGTATGGACTTTTACTGGAGAAAAAGCAGTAAGTAGATCTGCAAATCTGTTTCTGGGGATTTTTAGTGTTTTGGGTTGGGATTTTTTCTGTTCAGCATCTTTCCAATCTTTTGATGATGCACATAGGATTTTTTGGGTCATAGTGAAATAATTGATTGATCATATTATGAAAAATCAACAAAAAAGCTGTCAGTTTTGTGCTGCCTACTATGTATGCAGTGATGGGTTTGACTGCTCAGCATTGTGAACAAGAAGAAAATACCTTGGGGTGCCCAATTATAGTAGCAGTGAGAGGAAATTCAGAAGAGTAATTTTGGCTTCCTTCATTGCCTTTATGTTGGCCTCTGAGCGAGTGGCTGTTCCACTCCTTTCAGATTTCACAGCAGCAAGAGCACTAATGGCAACTCTGTGCAATCCTGACTTCTCATGTCTATGAGACTGAATCAATGCTTTTCCTTCCACATTTAGTAAAACAATTTTACACGCACACTGAGCAGCTATTCTTGTCTATACCTGCTTTGAGGTGGGCTAGATGAGCTGGAAGATTTTATAGAAGGCCATCTTTTCATTTATTCTCCCTCACCCACCCTTTTTCTTTTTTTTTTTTTTTAAATAAACTGCTTGACAGTGGAACAGTTCTCAAAAGGAGGTACTTTTAAAGCAAAGTTGAGGAAAAGCCAAGTGTAAGTGTTTTAATAGGACTTGCCTCATAAGAGTGGAAGTTTAAAGCAGGAAAAAAGAAGGTTAACATAAACAGAAAAAAAGCAGTTGAGCTCACTCAGTTCAAGAATACAAAATTCAGGTGCTGGTACCACAGTACCTGAACAATTGAATTGATAATGTGTTTATTGCTGTAGCATTCCCATGTGGTTTGGAGCAGAACCTTTTGGAAAGGAGCTATGACCTAGAAACTGAGTTTAGGGGCTTGGATACCTAAAGTAGGTTCTAAGCAGAGTTTAGATGCTGAAATCCAGACTGCAGTCTGTGTATTCCCTGTTCAGTCACAACTTACCCTTGGAGGTGAGGAACTGCCCTGACATCCAGCCCTGACATCCAGCTGCATTTTTCTTTTGTACCTACCCAGGACTGCTTAGAATGGGAGTCCTACAGCACAGTTCATAGGGAAATGTGGCTTGACCCCAAAATGAAGAGTTTCTTTGCCTAAGTTGTGATCAAAGTACACTCCTTGCTCGGGGGAACCAAGCTCCTGACAAGCATCACACCTCTGTTCTGGCTGCTTTAAAATTGTAGCTGGGAAAGAAGAGAGCCTACAGGGGAAGGTGCTTGCCTGTAGAGAGGAAGGCAGGGGTCAAGTGCGATTTCTGAGCACCATCTTTTAATATGCTGTTTAATATTAACATCACATCCATAAGCAGAAATGAGAACAGGCAGCAAAGCTCTTCCTTCCCATACTACAGTCATGCTTCCCTTTAGGCATAGTTCTCTCCCTCTGGCCCAGCACATGCATTATTATAATTTGGATTGAGTGGCAGGAGGAATCCCTTTCCTGGAGGAGAGGCATGTCTTGGACTAATGCTGTTTCCCTGCACTGAAGGCTTGAATCTCTTCTGGTAATCATTTAAAAATGATGACCAGGCTTCCTAACAGGAACCCAGCTGCATTTTGGAAGATTTTGTGTATGTGTGTGGTAGGCAAGAGGTCTCTTTCCAGCCTCTGTGGCAAGAGGTTGTGTAATGTGTAATCTGTCTTTTTAAGTGTAGCTGATTGATCAGTGTTAACTGAATGTTGGGTGTTTGTTTTTTTTTTTTTTTTTTTTTCCTCTTTTGCAGGAGTTGTTTGGGAATACTTGCTAGCAGCAGGGCCTTCCATGGATCAAACTGCTCACTGCTTGGTCTGTGCTTTAGAGGCAAGCAGGCAGGCATCATGTATGCAGCAAACCTTTGGTTTGTTTATCAGCACAAGCGTAACCCCCGCTAAAAGAGGGCACTGGCTTTCCTAGGGTGACAACCCATAGCTTTCTCTGTAGAAAGGTCTTCACAGTGTAACTTAACAGCCATGTGTAACTTGTAGTTATCAACTGACAGCAAATTTCTGTCTTAGGAGGAAGAAAGTGGCTTCTAATTAATTAGCTAGCTAGTTAATTGTTATCTGTACCTGACCTTATGCATAGGGAGGAATAACCCCAGGCACCAGCACAGGCTGGGGGCTGACCTGCTGGAAGCAGCTCTGCAGAGAAAGACCTGGGTGTCCTGGTGGAGAACAAATTGTCCATGAGCCAGCAGTGTGTCCTTGTGGCCAAGAAGGCCATTGGTATCCTGGGGTGCATCAGGAAGATCAGTGCCACAGGTCAGGATGTGATCCTGCCCCTCTGCTCAGCCCTGGTGAGGCACATCTGGAGTGCTGAGCCCAGTTCTGGGCTCCTCAGCACAAGAGGGACATGGAGCTGCTGGAGCAGGCCCAGTGGAGAACACAAGGGCCATGAGGGGACTGGAGCATCTCTTATGAGGAAAGGCTGAGGGAGCTGGGCCTGTTCAGCCTCGAGAAGAGACAACAGAGAGGGGAACTCAGTGTTTATAAACACCTGGAGGGAGGGTGTCAAGGGGATGGAGCCAGGCTCTGCTCAGGCTCTGCTCAGTGATGCCCAGCAATAGGGCAAGAGGCAGCAGGCAGAAACTGATGCACAGGAAGTTCCACCTGAACATGAGGAAGAACTTCTTTACTGTGCAGGTGACTGAGCACTGGAACTGACTGCCCAGAGAGACTGTGGAGTCTCCCTCACTGGAGATACTCAAGAACCCTCTGGTTCAAGCAATTCTGTGCCGTGTGCTCTAGAATGACCCTGCTTGAGCAGGGAGGTTGGCTCAGATGAGCCACTGTGGTCCCTTCCAGCCTGACCCATTCTCTGTGACTCTGTAATATGTATACTTAGCTGTGTATCTGGGTAGGTCTTTAGTGCCTAGCTGCAAATGCAGAAGAGAGCACGTAGAAATACTTGCTGGATTCATGGAAACTTGTTCTCTTCAGACTTTGTGAAGTTTTCTTCTTTCCCTCACACAGAAAAACAAGTGTGTTTTTCTGGGGAGAGTTTGAGAATGTGTAACTAAGCTGCTCGCCTGGCTTTCCCAAGGAAGCAGCTGCTGCTGTGCAGCAACAGAGAATGTAGTAGAGGAGGAGGCAGCACTGCTTTCTTCATGTAACAGGCACAGCTGCAGGAGATCTGAAACTTTGTGGCTACACTTGACCTGGTTTCCTTGTCAAAAGCACATCTGGTTTTCAATTTGATTTAACTTGGAAACTATGTTCTGCCTGTGCTGGGGCTAGGAGTCCTGAGATGCAAATCTTTCTGTAAAATGCCAGTGTGTTGCTGCTGGGAAAATTACCAAGAGAACAGATCTAAATGTTGTCTCGATAGTCCTATGAGAGAGGCTCACCTTTGTCTTGTCACCTTACGTGGCTGGGCTTTGTGCCTGGCAATTTGAGTGCTCCAGGAACTGTCAGACTTCCTTCTCCTCCCTGTACTGCTTTGATTTGGCTGGTATCACCTGGCATCCCCTCACAGCAGCATTGTCTTAATACAGGTGACTTTCCTCTGTGCTAGTATTTCTTCACAATGCCTGGCTTTGTGGGCAAGAAGAGCCCAGAGTGTCCTCTGTGATGCACGAGCACTGTGCCACGGACTTGGTCACTGTTTTCCCTGGAGCAGCTCAGCTGAGGAGTTTCTGCAGCTTGCCAAAGGCTCCTGCAGGAGCTGGGGCAAGGTGCAAACACGCTGCTCTTAGTTGCATCCTGTTCCAGAGGTACTGGAATTCTTTTATGCAAATGAGCAATTATTTTCATCTAAAGCACTGGGAGAATAAATGCCTGTGAACTGCAGCCCTCTGAAAAATGCTTGCTTGCTTCTGGTATGGAGAGTGTTCACAGAAGAGATGAACAGAGTGCAGATTTTCCAGGGTTACTGATTATAAGACTGTATAAATTCCTGAAGAGCGGGCAAGCCTGAGGTTTTAAAATTCTGCCTTATACATAATATAATCTCTTCCAGTATCCTGTTTTAGGAAGGCTGTGTGGATGCTACAAATATTATAATACAGATCAAATAATTGGAGTCTGGATATTTTAAACCAGGGCCTGAACTGAAGGGCTGTCATGCAAAACAAATGCACTGGGGTGGCAGTGGAGGATTGAACAGCTAATAGATGTTTTCCCTTTGCTTGACATCTGTCACCTTCCCCAGTGCCAGCCCTTCCTCTGTTTATAGCAAACCATTTGCTCCCATTAATTAGAACTGGATTGCTGCCATCTGACCAGCTTTGTGCCTGTGCAAATGTTAACAGAGCCAGGACTACACAGGTGGGGAGAAGGGCCAGTCAGAGGAGATCTGTTACATCTGTTTGGGGAGGGATAGATGGGGGGAAATGCCACCCCCCCTATCCAAATCAGGCACACTGGCCTACAACAATAATTGAAATGCAGACTGAGAGCCCCAGGATGCCACTTTACCCAGCCCTTTTCAGAGCAGACTGCACTTTAAGCCATCCCCTCCAGTTAAATCTCTTTACCAAAGTGGTCTGTATGAGGCCTTAGATACAAGAAGATAATGGTGCTGTCATTTTTACAAATAATCACAACAGGAGCAGAAAAATAAGAGGAAGATGATTATGCCTGAAAGTGCAATGAGGTTCCAGTTGCTAATGCAGTGGAAACTAAAAGGAAGCTGAACCACAATTCCAAGCTGCTTCTGCCAGGAGGGCTTTTCTGCTGTGATTTAGGAGTGTACAGCTGTGTTGCCATGATGTTAGGAGGAAATGTACCTACCCAGGGATGGTTTTCCTTGTGTAAAATACTATGAAGATGAAGTATTTAATGTGGTAGTTGAAGCAAGTCTTGAGTAGGAGAAATGGGTTGTAAAAAGAAAAATCCCTGCAAACTCTCCACTGTGGCTGCCTCCAGCAGTGATGTTCTGCTTCTGCAGAGACCATGAAACAAGAGGGTGGCACTGGTTTTAACACTGAGGATTAAACTCCATCTTAAAAGGACACAGAACAGCAGGCTTCCCTCACTCCTTCATATAATGGTGGGAAGTATTTCATTGTGATGTGGGATGGAGGGGGTTGATGGGATGTGTTTGTGTGTACCCTGAGTACTTCAAGCCTTTTAGAATGATGATGATCTGAATCTGTTCAGACATGGAGGACCTGAGTGCCAAGGTTGTGAGTACTCCAAACACCTGAACTAATGGCAAAAATGGTTTTGAGGGAGAAAGAATATGCCTTATTCTCACAAACTGGCTAGGAAGGAGACTTTTAAGTCGAGTAAAGAGATTTGTAAATAGAAAATCTTTGGGGATGTTTTTACAGTATGTTGTAGGAAGTATGCCATTCCCTTCTCCATGGCCTAGTATCTGGGGATCCTTCTTTTATATTCCCCTGCATGAACAGGGCCCCTGGCCCCCCACTCTGCTGCAGTGACAGTGGTGTTTGTCTGGGGCTTAAGTGCCCCATGTTGCAACATCCACGTCAAGTAAGCAGCTTCCAGCTTCAGTGTTCTCCCAGCGGAAAGGACAACAGTAGATCTTGAACAGACCTCTTCCTTCTTTCTCATGTTCTTGCCGCCAGTGCAAAATTTTTCTTCCCTCTAAAAATGAGCATTTTTTGCTTCTTTAAATCACCAGAACTTTCTCTCCTAATGACAGATACTCCCTTTGCTGGTTAGAGCTGAGACAAATAAAACATAGAGCTGACTTATCTCCCAAGTTCTGCAAGAATTTCTCCTAGCACAATATTTTCCCTAATTAAATTAATTTAGGGGATCATTTACAGGTCATAGTAAATGGACTCACAATGCATACATAATGCAAAGCATAGTTGGAAAGCAGAGTGTCTCAGAGTGATGCAAGGACAGTGGTCATTGTGGCTCATGGGTTGGTGGGGATGGACCCATCAGTCCTCTAAGACAAAACATGCCTCAAAATTATTAATTGTGTCTGCATTAGGTAAGCAGTGTAACAGAACTTGACAGGTGCATCTTTTTTTCAGGAAAAAGAAATGTTACTGTGTCAATTAAATAGCAGACTATTAATTTGCTGCTGAGATGACATGTGCCAGTTTTAGTATCAGCGCTGCTGGATTACCTTTGCAGGTTTGGGGTGGCACTTGTCACACAACTGTAGAAGTAGTGGAGAGCTCTGCTGGCAGGGCCTGGCTCTTGGGAACAGCCTAAGGGCAAGAGAACGTGCTTTTCTGTAGGTTCTGTTTTGCAGGCAGGGTAAACCACAGGGCTCATGTTTAAATCCAAGATCTTGTTCCTCTGCTTAGAGCTTAACTTGAGTGAAAAGATTTGGGCTTTTCTAAATTTTTTTCTATTTGAAAGTGTGTTGAAAATGTGCATAATGACCAAATGAAATAGTTTCTTGACAAACCACCATTGCCCATGACTTAATCCCAGCCTTCTGTAAGTGGCTTTGCTTCTCCAAGGGAAGCTGTTGTGTTCTTACTTTCATCTTTTTTTGTGTTGGATACTTTTCCATATGTCTGAGCATCATTGCTTGTTGCTCTTAATTTTTGCTTGGCATTTGTTCACCCTGATTTGGCTTGCCACCACAGGCTTTCCAGTCATTCCCATTAGAAAGCTGCATTGTCCTGTGAGATATAAAAAGGTGGGAAATGACAGAACAGATAGGGAAGTGAAGAGAAAAGGTGAGGCAGAAGCTACTTGGGTGTTCAGCTGGGCATCCCCAGTTGTAACCACTGTATGGGGGCTACTGACAGTGGTTTGGCTGGTGATGGTGAGCGGTGCCTTGTCACGGCCCCCTGGGGAACAGGAGCAAACTGCCCAAGTCTCAGGAAGAGCCATGGCAAGGTCTGGTTTGACTTCTCTGTGGTCTTGGCTATGAGCACATTGTGCCATGTTAGCACCTCTGGAATGAGATCTCTGGAAAGGCACTGAAGAAATTATGTTGAAAGGGATCCAGTGGGGATGTTCATTAATGGCAGGATTCTTTCCCAAGGAAGGCTAAAGGGCTGTGAGAGCTCAGTTAAAGCCAGTGCATCCATCTGTTCAGCTGTCTGATGCAGGAAAGTACACCTGTGCACAGAAAAGAGCAACATTTGGCTGCTGCAGGGTGCTAGCCTGTCTCAAGACATTCCCATCTGGGAATACACTGAGAGCTGGGGGGAACATTGCCGAGTGCTGAGTTTTTGCCACATTCCCAAGACACTGAGTGATCTGAATATGCATAGCAAGGTGTGCGGTGTTGATGGATGGGGTGACCAGTGCTGGCACAAACTCGGACTCTTAAAAAAGGAAGCTTGAGAATTCTTGCAATTGTCACAGAAACATTTTGCAACTGTGGAGAGAGCAATTTCTGCCTTTTCCCTCAGAATAGGCTATTTCAGAATTCAGTCCTGATATCCCCCCTGAAGTTAAACAAAGGGACCAGGAGAACAAGGTTTTGTGTGATGCCTCCAAGAATGTATGTCCTGGTATTTATTCAGACACACTTTCTTACTGCTTCTGCTTTTCTCTAGCTTCTGAGTGATTTAGATTATACCTGTGGTTTTTGGCTTTTATAGTTTTGGGGTTTTTCTTGGTCACAGAACAATTTAGGTTGGAAAAGAAACTTTAAAGTCATTAAGTCCAACAGTAAACCTGTACTGCCAAGTCCACCACTAAACCATGTCCCGAGGTGCCACATGTACAGGTCTTTTGAATAGCTCTAGGGATGGTGACTCAACCACTTCCCAGGACAGCCTTTTCCAATCTTACAACCCTCTTGGTAATGAAATTTTTCCTAACATCTAATCTAACCCTCCCCTGGCACGATGCTATTTTTTGGAGCATCCCACCATTTGGGAGTGATTTGAAATAAAGTAGAAAGATTCTTAACCTACAGTCTCTTCTTGCCCATAAAAATGCCTCCCTCCTTTCCTGTAAACACAGATTTTATGGAGCAGTAGCCTGGGCTCAGCAGCCTGTGTCCCAACCTCTTAGAGGTAAGAGTCAAAGCAGAACTAGGAATAAATATGAGGCTGAGGCTTCCTGTTTTGGAGTCCCTAGTGATACAGTTTGTTTGAGCATGATGCCTGCTCTGTGGTTAGCTGGTAGAAATGACAAGGAAAGACAAGTTTCTGCAAGACAGACTTAGAGTGCATTAAATAAATATAAATTTTATTAAAAACACCCACATCTCAGCGTTATCAGGAATGATATAATAATAAACAGCTTTCAAATAACCTGCATTACATTACAATACTTACAGTATTTATAACCATCCTCGGATTCTTTTTATAGACATACCAAACATCTCATGAAAATGAATGAAACTAAAGTAAAAAAAAAGTAGAACATAAGCATAGAAAATGCACACAGAAGTTCATTACCTTAGTGTCAAACTGCTAAAGTTTCCTACACAAGTTAACCACTAGCTTTAGAAGTGAACTTTTTACTGCTGTGCGTCAATCAAGATGAAAAATTCATTCAAGTAAAGTTGACAACTCTCAGAAGCATCTTCAAGTATGGCTATAGTCAACCTGATAATCCTATACAAGCAACTCTGTCTGCTTTGTCATTCATTCCAACTGAGGCAGGGCTCTGTACACCAAAAATTACAGCTCAGGTATTTACAATACAAAACTGATTCTCCAACTAAGCTTCCTGCTCCTGCTGCCAGCAGTTTGGCAAATGACGGTGCATGGTATATTAACCAAACATCTACTATGGATTACGTGAATTATATAGGATTAAAAAAAAAAATCACCAAAAGATGAAGATATATAATGATTTACTTAATCTGACATATAACCGTCATTTTTTTTTTTTTTTTCAAAAAGGCAAAACTTTCGTTTCAATGAGTGGATAAAGTCACAGACTGAGAAAAAACAAAATTGTCATAATAAATACTTGACCATTAAACCCAAAGGCCTCCTTTGATTTACTTGAGTTAGGTTGTGATTCTGTTGGATAGAATTTATTTCGACCAAACTTAATCTTACAGTATATTGCACAAGATATAGCTGGGACATGGAGGTTTGCATGTTTAGGGAAGCCCTTGTACAGACTGTACCTTTTTATATTTTATTTTATTCATTACAGTATTTAAGAAGCCTTGTTTAGAGAGTGACTTGAACAACTCTAGCAAACAGTCACTTGCCAAACCCCTGACTTACATTTTTCCCTTTAATCAGCTCAGTGCATTCTACTTTCTTTTTGTTTAATCATTTGAAACAGTCAAAACATTCTAGATCTCTTAAACACTTCTGTTACAATAAAGAGCTAACAAATTTACAAAATTAGTTTTAGTTACACAATACATGTACAAGAAAAATAAGAGAAGGGATTCAAAAGAAAAACATTAAATCCCTGAAAAAAACAAAAACCCCAAGAATAATATATTTAACCTACAACAGCTTTACATACACACAGATGACACATTGGCATAGGAGAACATGAGCTGAAATATCCCTGAATTTTTAGAACCAAAAAGAAAAAAAAAAAGAAAAAAAAAAGTTGAAGTTCAAGTTATACTTGCTAAAATGTCAAGTATCGAGAGTTTTTTTTTTTGTTTAGTTTTTTGTTTGTTTTTTTCAAAGGCTATTGGGGGAAAAAGATGGTATACAATATATAAACTTTCACACTCAGTTCAATATCCTATTGCCAAACTAGTGTTGAGGTATATGACAAGTAGGAACATCACTCAAACCTTTTAATGTATTTTTAGCTCACATTATGATATATTTGTAGCAGGCTGAGTAGCACCATGATGTGAATTCAGCTCAAAACCCAAATATATATAGATTTAATATTTTTACAGTACTAAAATACTAAAGCATTGCGTTAAAAAAAGTTTTGTTTACAATTTAATTTACTATACAACTCTCCTGCTTTTTTTTTTTTATTTTTAATAGAAATTATTGATTTAAAACCACCACAGCAAGCCAGCTGCCTATTTTTTTTATCTATTAATCAACGGAATCGCACAGAACTAACCCTGTTTCATTCATCTTATGTAGGCATCAGTCTGCTCTGTCTTTCTGGAAAAGAGGCCACTTGCACCAAGAAATGACTTGCACCACAATGTACATAATTATCAACACAGAAGCAGTTCTGCCATTCCATAGTGGGAGCGCAAAGATCTCTAGAAACAGCAGAAGCCCAAGCTAACTAGGTGTAGTTTGTTGCATGCTGCTAATTATTACCTGTGGTTAATATAAAATTATTTCCTTAAAACTGTACATATTTGAGCAATGAACTTGTCATAATAATTGTAGAAAACAGTTTACAGTATAGCTGTGTGAGATGAGCACCAGAAAAAATGTGTTTTGTATACTTAAGTATTCCCTTATATCCAGTAAGCCCCATTTTTACCATAACTGACTGTATTAAAAATGGATATGTAGCCCACTAGCTGATGCATGGCTAAACCAAAAGTATTTAAAAGCTTTTTTAGTTTAAAAAAATTATCTTTGCATTTTAAAATCAAAGTAAACTCTTCTTCTTTTTTTTTTTTTTTTTAATGTCTTAGTACCTTAGCATTGTTCAAGTTGCCAAGCTTAGGTAGACAAAGTGCTTTCGAAACACTATTTAAAAAAAAATATCTCTCTCTTTTATTGTCCTTTTTTAGGACTTGACTGGATGAGCAAAATCCAGAGGTCTTTGTAATTCCCATATGTTAAAAAGTAAGCTTATTTTAACACCAGGTAACTTCAATACATACATGAATGAAAAGGTCCTCCCAGTTGCTGAAGAACATTTGACTGTATCATTGACATTTTGTTATAAAGGCATTAACTGTTTGACTGATAAAATAAAGACACCATTCTCTTAAATAGCACCATGGTTTTAGAATATTCAAACTAATTCAGTGTTTTGCTGTCTATTTGTCTTATACTTATCTACTTTGTTAAATAAAATCAAAAGGCTATTAAGATTACAGTAAAAACTGCATGTTAAAAAGCCATAATTCCAGTATTTCAGTACATCATAGATTCAGCACCAGATGTTATTTTAAGATTCCTGCAGTTGTAATACTACAGTATTATTTTTTAGGGTTTTTTTTTTTGCTCCTGTTCCATGACTATGCAAACTTGATGACATGAAAAGTGGCCACAGATGTGCAAAACTGTAAGGAAAAAAAAAAATCCATTTGCAGGTTATCTCTTTCAGTAATAGAGCCAGTGTTTTCCAATGTAACTTGTGAAATTGTTTTGGTTGTGTTCTGTCCTTTTTTCTTTCCTTTTATTTTCTTCTTCTATTTTATTGTTGTTTGTTTGTTTTTGCATAGGATGCTTTGGTCTTGTTTCCTACATGCCATCTGTGACCACTTAAAAATCAGTGGAAAACACGTGCTCTAGTGAGATTTACCTCTTTTTGCTGGTGTGCCGAGGCTTTTTCAACCGATGAGTTCTGTCCACGAAACCTAAAGCACTACTACCCTAGTGACAAGATGTTTTTTCAAATGAGGTAACCAACCAAGGTGTGAAGTCAGATATATCGGTTGTAAGGCCCTGTAACCCGTGTAAAGGCATATGGAGATGTAGTTACGGTGGAGTCCGTGGTGACCGACAGTGTCCTTTGTGCCAGGGACTTGATGAAGCGCAGGTACGTTGGCTCAGAGGGCTCGTGGGACTCCGCAGGCTCCCGCTTGGCTTTTTTGCCATAGGATTTCTGAGGCACGTAGTCTGGGCCATACTTCTCACATTCCTCTTCTTTCTCTCTTGCCTTCTCAGCCATCTTTGCCTCCCACAGAGCCAGACCGTGTTTTGGCTCATTCATGCTCTTGTGCTGGTAAAATACAAGGGATATTCTGGTGGGATGGTTCCTGTTGGGATTTTTTAAGGGAGTCGTTGCGTGGAGCTCGCGTTTTGCACACTCTATGAGAATTGACCCATGAGATGGAGCAACTGCCACTCCTCCAATTTCTGGATCCAGAAAGTTCTGCTCACTATCTGACCAGACTTCATCAGGATCCTCTGCTTTTTCTGGATTCAGCACGTCAGTTTTATCTAAACCACCCTGGGGAGTTGTCCTGTCATGATTTTGACCTGGAAGCATGTTAGACAAGCCATTAACTGCATGTGAAATAATCTCATTATCCTTACTTTGGAGATGCAGTGAATTAGGAGGACCACTAAACATACTTGGAGCAGAATGGTAGTCATGTGATAAATGTGGAGGGGGTTGAATGTGATGATGTTCACCTGTTTTACTCATGGAGGCATAGTCCATGTTTGGATTACTCAGATTAGATTTTAACCTTGAGGCAACCTCCATAAAATGGCCATTGGCCTCATGGGTTGAGTAAGAGGAAAATGACCCTACGTGGTGTAAATTTGGTCTAATGGTGCAATTACTGAAGGAGTCTACCTGCATATTTTGGTTTCCATAATTCAAGTACTTGGGACCAAAACTCTGGTTATTCCCAAACCTATGCTGGTATAATGTTTGAATGGGTGGTAGACTTAGTTTAGACATATGGTCTTGGCTCTGGCAACTATACAAGTCCATGTGCTGATGCTGGGAAGAGTAGGAGCCCAAGTAAGAGGGGCAGTTGTCCATAGCTATGTTTCCATTGCATTGGTAGGGGGGATATTGGTTATTTTGACTTAAAGATCCTGAATAAGGGTTCATTGGACTGGAAGAATTCAAATAAGACCCCGCAGACTGTGATGAGGTTGTATAGAGGTTCATGGGATTGGACCCTCCATATGGATCTGAAGTGTACAAAGAGTTTGGATAAGCACTGGCTGGATTAGGCAACCTTCCATAGAGATTTGCAGAACCTGAACCCGAGTAAGAGTTAATGGGATTTGACTGAGGGTTGTTAGGGAGAGAGTGCTGTGGATGTTGTTGTTGCTGCTGCTGCTGCTGCTGCTGTTGTTGTGTGGCTGGTCCTGAAAGACGTAAAAGATCTGTAGATGTAAAAAGGAAAAAACAACCATACAACAAACAGGCTTTTAAAAAAAGGCCCCAAACCAGCCAACCAACCAACCAACCACCCAACAAACTGCATACATTATATGAAATTTCTAAGATAAGTAGATTCATTTACAAGACCCTCCCTTTCTAATATCTCAAACACCATCCTTTAAGAAGCTGAGTAAATACTAAGGCTACTCTTCCTCTTTGGCATGTATCCAACAAGATCAGATGCTAGTGGCAGTGAGGAAAAGAGGACAGTGCAGACTGTTCTGAGTCACATGCACAAAATCCAAAGATTTGAATTATCTTTTAAGTACCCCATGAAATGGAGCATCAAAGTGCTCCCAAACAGCTGTGCACAAAGTGACTTTCTTTTCCCCAAGAATAAATAATTCGTCTCATCTACATGAATAGAACTGACTACAAGAAGTGTTCCTAGCAGTATGTTAAAAACAACATTCACTGATAGAACAGTGCACATTAACTGAAGACATGAGAGCAAAAATACCATTCATTAAAGTGCAATGGCATCATTTAATGGCCACAACCCTTGCCTGGGTCATGGGACAGCTGACTTCTCTTCATTTATTAAGTATTTCAGTGACCTTCTGGGTGGCCCTGGATGTATGGCTTTTTTCCTCTCTGGGAAAACTGCTGCAACAGTGAAATAGTTCTGGTAACTCCTTTGCTCAGGACTCTCAAATCTGCTGCTGAGAAATGCCATAAACTCTTACTCCACTACACAAAACCTGCTTTGCTTTTGATCTGGAGGTAGAGGGTATAAATAGTGGTAAAGAGGTTGTGCTTGTATTTCCTGAAATTAGGAGGGTCTCTGTAACAGTGGCAGGCATTGAGTGATGAGTAGGTCATTCTTTGGCAGTAGCACTACATACTTCTCTTCATGGCTTCTAGCACTACTAGTGTGTCGCCCTGAAAACTCAGCTTCTGAGCTTGCTAACATAGTTTTCTAAAGACTTTCCCAGGACAGTAACTGTAAACATAGATATGTGTACATTCTGTTACACATCTTGTGATGGACATCTCATGGCCAGTGCAGTGAGAAAGTGTTATCCTGACCATCCAGTCCCTGGCCGTGGTCAAAAACGTATAAATCCTGAGAGAAAAAATAAACTTTCTCTTCTTTTCACCACACCTTGACCTGTGTCCGTGTGATCTATTCATCTTCAGAAGCAACACTAGTGCTTCAAAGATACTTTACAATACACTGGATGGCAAGCAGAGTTTGTTTCTAGATTTCTACAAGTGTTAACTATCCAACAGTATAAGATTTCTCATTTCAACTTTTCTTTATTTTTTCTTCTCTGGAGTTGTACCAAATTTGGCACTCTAGTATTTATATAATAGTGGTATTTGCTTTCAAGAAATCTCTTGCCTTTTTATTTCAGTACGTTCTTGAGCTGAAAATAATAGTTTTCTTGAGACTGATTATAATTGACCCTGATTTGTAGGATGCTTACCACTGCTGACCCCGCTCAGATTCCTGTGTTTACCTGCCAGCTGCTTTGCATGACCTGCTGCTTCAGAGGTGCCTTGCTTGTTGCGTGCTGCAGCAGACTTCTCTCTCTCAGCTTTGCTAGACCCATTCTCCAAGGAGGAGAGCTTTTCTGCAGCTGCTTTCTTTGCTTCTAGCTTCCTTTGCCGACAGGTCTTAACGGGCTCTGCTAGCATCCTTACTTTTCGTCGAAAGGAAGTAAGGACCTGGATGCTGCCATTCTTCTTCTTCTCCTCCTGGCCCTCAGTGCTTCCAAACTCATCCACATCAGAGACTTTGTATAATGGGAGCACATGGAGCTGCTCATCTTCTGGTGTTTGGCCAATTTCACGATTGTCTTCTCTAGTCAGTGTGCAAACCTGTTAGAAAAGTGTATTAGAGATCTGAAATTCTACCTCTGCATTGTGCCTTGCCCTGACACTGTCAGCACTGGCATCTCGCAAGATCATTGTAAACTGTAAGTTTCTGTGCAAATTTCCATATCACAACAAGCCTGCAAATATAATTTCCTCTATTTGTTGGACAGTATTAAAAGAAACAGAAGGTGTATAGATATCTATTTCTTTTTCTTGTGCTGAAATAAACGGTATAGTTAGGGATTACCCTCATGCGAAATAAACTCTGTGATCCATTGTACTGTGGCCGAAAAGCTAAAGCAGTGGAATTGGGGACTTTGTACTCACCTGAAGACTCTTTCACTACAATACATAGAGCAGCTACCGGTTAGAGAGAGTGTGCAATGTAACACACTGGTGTTACACTTCACACCCCCTTACAGTGTAACTGTATTGTTAATAACAAGATTTAGGGAAGTTACTGTTGTCATACAGCAAGCCTGTAGTATTAGTTCTAGCTAGAATAGGTATTGGGAGGATCTCTGTGGAAAAAGATGCTAATAGAGACATATTCTGCAGGAAAATCATTGTCCCAGATTTGGGAAGAAAGCTCAGCTGGAAATCTACATTGTATTAGTGGTGATTAACTTGTGAATTTAGTCAGACTCTGGAAACAAGAAAAATTCCGTTTGAATTGAAAAGGCAGATACTCTCTTTGGTTGTAGTAAGAGCTGCACTGTAAATCTAGGGAGCTGCTTCCAACCACAGCCTTTATGATTATTCAGAACTGAAGAGTATTCTTTCCTATGTTTGGCCCAACTGTTTTGTCACAGAAATAATCCAGTATACATTGAGAACCAGCTTGCTTTTCTTATATCTTCTTTAGAACTTTTGCTGTACTTGCCAGAAATCAGAAGTGAGGAGAGTAAGGGGTACATGGACTTGCAGACTTTCTGCTCATCCAAAGCAGGAATATAATCCAAAGTTGTTAGAAGAAGAAGGGTTTCAAGAGGATAAATGTGAACAGTTTAGTGCCAAGAACACTGAAACGGGCATTTCATCTCTGCTGGGATCTTCTTTCCACTGTCTCCACCGTTCCTCTTTTACCAGGCCTGTGTTAAACCTTTCTTTAATACACCATAAGTTTCATTCATTTGAAAGGAAAATGTGTGTAGGGGGTAATAAGTTAGCTCAGTTACTGCCTAATTTATTATTTTTTTTTTAAACTAATCTGCATTATGCAGTGTAAATTTAAACAGAGAGGAGATAATGAATCAAAGCCAGGAGCTGAGTGCTGGAGTGAGGAGGCTGTTACACATCCCAGACTTACCAGAGTACTCCCGTTTTGCATATTGTGCAAGTCTCTGTGAGCATGAGCACAGAAGTCGAGGCAGGCAGTGACCCCTGAGAATGGGCGACCTTCCTTCAAACCCAGGCGACACTCGGGGGCTCTGTGTTCATACTCGATCTGGAGAGACAGGACAGGTTTCACTGGGTGCTGCAGGACACTGAGTGCGCAAGGAATGCTCTGCTGTGACAAAGGCAGGTCTCCCTCACATCTTGGAGGTGACAACACATCTTGAAAGCAAATAAACTACAGAAATTTGATGGCCGATTTGTATCCGTGCTTCATTCCTTGCTGCTTTGTTCCCTGGTACCTTCAGTCTCTGGTGTGATTGTGAAATTAGTCAATAATACTTTTCCTTGTGTATTACTCCTGATTTTCTGCCAGGGGTTGGTGTTTTTACATGACAAATGCAGTGCATGATTTCCGTGACTGGCACTCTGAGAGTGATATGTTTGTGTAGACTGGAAGTATACCAAGCTATTAAGGGAAAATGCCTTTAGAAAATTGACTTCAGAATGACTTAATGAAAAATAATAATTTGCTTTTTGATTTGTAATATTTTGGCATGCTAAACATATATTTCATTAGCTTAAGTACAGATCTAACCCCTGACTAAAAAGAGAGAATTCAGTCAAGACAGTGCTTTGTACCCATGCAGTCATTATTAAGGAGCTTTACAAAGAACTCATAATGCAACAACAGACCTTAAACAAAAAGAAAGGATTTTGTAATGGAAGATAAAGCCTTGGAAAAATTATGGCTTCATATTTTATTTAGAAAATTAAAAATGAAACCACAGTTATAAAATGCTTTGCTGAAATTCCTGAACCTTTCAAGTGAATGCACAGAACATCTACACTTACTGGAATTTAATGGATGCCTTTTTTAGTTAAGGTCAAATTAGAAGCTTTGCCAAGTCTTCATTCAAAATCACTAAAAATATGTCTAGTTTGCTCACATTGCTCATTGATTTTTCAAATCTGGATTATTTACTTCACTGGAATCTGAAAATAAAAGCAGAACAAAACTTGAAAACTGTGTAAACTTTTTTGGAATTAAATGTGAGTGATCTGAAATGTTAGCCAGACTATAATTGCCTGATCAAGCTATACAGTCCAGCTGCTCTCTGAAATTATCTATTCAGTCCAGTTGGGAAACAGACTCTTTTCAGTTCTGGGTTGTAATCCAGAAGTGGTCCAAATTTTGGATTAGAATAAATCTGGGAATTTGAAATGTGATTTTAGTGCTTTTTTGATTTTAGAACCTTTTACAATATCATACAAATTAGAACTCAATCATCTTTCTTTAAAGCCCCTGACAGTAGCTTGAGTACAGTTTCCCTACAAATATAAGGTCTACATGAAGCTCCTGAAATAAGCCAAGCTAAACACATGCCTTGTTACATAAGGTAAAAATTTGAACATGTAAAAGTGTGTATTTTCAGCAAATGTTTCAGCACCACAGCTTACTTGGAGAAAAGTTCTTTAGTGAATTTTTGTGGGAAAAGTAAAGCAGCCCAAGCAAAGAAACAATTTCTTGGTCACCACCTCTTTTATTTTTTTTTCTTTCTCTTCCTATTTTCTCTTGCAGAATGCCTCTCAGATATATATGGACAGATAACCACAGCTCGTGGGCACATAGCCACAGTTTTCTCCATAATGAGTCTCCAAATGTTACCTGATCAGGTAAGTGAAACTGGGTGAGTCTGCACTGAGTCTGATTACCCTGTCTAGCTGGTACTAAGTACGCAGTAAAAGAGTGAATTTTACTGCAGATAATAATGGACAGTTTTGTGTTAGTTTACTGTTTCTGAGAATATATCTTGTGCTAGTTTTACAGTTCTGTCAATAGGAGAGCAGGATAATGTCACAGTTTGTAGTAGATGCTGAAAGTCTGGGGACTGTAAATTCTGTGAATATTCCTAACAGTAGTCAACCTGAGCAATGAAAATGAGGGTTAACAGTTATTTGTTTGCAGGTGGTGTGCTGTCACATTTTGGTCTAACTCACTGAAAGACATTTTGTAATGAAATGTAGGCAAGACACAGCCACAGGGAGAACATCATCAAAGCTCTGAACGTGCTGGTGTCCAAGAACACAGATCCACAGAAAACAGGTGCACACGATCTCCTCATGCAAGAAGGCTGGTGCAGGCACTTGTGTACATACACAGAGCTGAGTGTACTCAAATATAAAACTTCACTTTAAAAGCATGTTTATAAAGGGTGTTTTGGTAAAAACTAAATTCATCTGCTTCTTGAGAGAGCAGAACTGAAACTGTGGCTTCAGGACTTGAGTGCAAACCGTTGCCAATCTCAAACCGTGTTCATGGCAGCTTTGCTGGTTTGGATGGTAAGTCATGCTAAATTGAGAAATTTGTATTTTGGAGCTGAAGAGCGAAATAATTTTATTGTGTTGATGTAGGTGAAAAGATTAATTCTATTTAGTGGACCAAATCCTGCTAGTTTTACTTGTGAGAGCATTTTAAGTGGAATTGTTCATTTCTATTTGTCTTCATGCTGATGTCAAAGAAATGTTGGCACGAGATGGATATAACGGTTTGGGACAAGGCTGAAGCATTGGGAAGTATGTTAAAAATCAGGTTATTTCCATGATTGCTCATATTCCTTTTTATCCCCATCATACCTGGTTGTTATATGCATCAGGTGCAAGCTTCTTGTAGGTAGGTGCCATCAGGGTTGACAGATTCTGCAAATTAGATTCTAGTTTTTCCTCCTGTTAGAGACGAAACAGGGTTCAATGACATTTCCATACTGTACATCTGAGATCCAGCAAGTTAGGGTCTTTACACCATCATGTTTGCACTGATGGTTGTGTAAAGGCATAAACCAATATCATTGGTGTTTAGACAGTGACTGTTATGAATCTCCTTTTAATTTTATTGTTCCAAGGCCTTTAAAGGAATGAAGCAGTTGCAGTAGTGTAGTGGGAAATGTGCAATAGAACATCACATACTATACTTTTGTTTTATATTGAGTAAAATCACATTCTTCAACATGGATATGTTTTAGACCTAAGTGTGATAATCCTCATTATTTTCCTTTTCTGGAGTTGTGGGAAAATAATACTCTTCAGAAAGCTTGAGAGTAATAACATCAGAATGGTCCAAGTAAATATGGCTAATTTAAGGGTTTTTCACATTGCAATGACAACACTTTGACATGCTGAAATATTTTACATGTAGAAATTTAAAAATATTTAAATACTGCAGCCTGCAAAAAGTTCCCAGTTCTTAAGCAGTGAAGAATCATGGATGTGTTTAGTAAATGGTGATATGGAGTGGGAATGACCACACCTCCTTTTTCCTCTAAACTGAACACTGCCAAAATAAAGTGTTTTAAAAAAAAATCTAATAACATACTTCAGAGCTGTTCCCCATCATCTAAGGATGAGAATCCCAAATTCAAAACCTTGTCTGTATGAGGCCCTTATCTTTAATTTTAAATGCATACAGAATGGTGGCATACTGGAGTGGCATATTTGTTTTTATGAGCTTTTGTATTTAAGGAAGATGTGAAGCACTGTGAGAAAACAGGTTTCAGAGAGAAATGCATTTGGTGTGTTGAAAGTTTGTATTCCCTACTACAGGACAATATCCTACTTTGGTTTTGACATGAAATCGTCAAAAAAACATCTTGCTGTGACCTCGTGCCTGCTGTCAGAATGTGGAGCTTTTGTATGGCCTGTAGGTTAGTATTTGTTAATATAACTTCTGTTTTTTTTATTGGTGAGGATTCTGTTTGTGCTGTCTATATTGTGTCTGTGGAACCCAGCCCCTGGTCTGGATGCATATTTTGGCTGCCCCAACTTTGGGACCAGGACTGGAGGGTAAAACCACCTTTCCTGCCTGAATCTGGCTTCCATATGAAGTAAATCCAAGCATGAAAGCTGGAAGAGTGTCCTGGTGTGCTCTGGCCAGGTATCCATCTTAGAAATGTAGGTAGTTTAGGATTGCAGGCTGTGATAAAGAAGGCTTTCTCCCACAGCATGTTTGGAGAAGAGCTATTCTGTAGTTCTTGGTGCTGTAGAAGAGCAGTGGGCAGGAAAACCTGTATGTTAGCTATGATGATATTCTGAACAGTGCACTTTTTTCAGCACAGGTGGTAGGATGCAGAAGTACCTGTCTCTCTGATTATGAGAGAGTAATTTGAGCTTGGATATGTGTAACACATCAAAATACAGTGAGACTGTGCACTAATGTGCCAGTACACAGGCAAGGGACTCAATCTGCACATCCTTGCCAGAAAGCAGACTGTGCCACTGGAGCTTCATGACTTGCTGGAGGTGTCTAAGAGTCACTTCAGTCATAACTTCAGCATATCTTGTGTCCAGGCTAAGGTCAATCTTTATTACTCTGGCTTGTTTTAAATACTTGCCAGTTGTAACACAGAGCCCAGTCTGGAAACATTCAGTGGGGCAGGACTGTAAGTAGAATGAGTCTTCTTATCCTCTTCTTCCTATTGTCATCTCAGAGTTTCACCATGGTTGGCTCCATTGAACCTGTCTGCTCTGGTTCCCAGTTGAAGTGTTATGTGCCATTAGCTGGTAAACCTTCCACTGTGCCACTGGGGAATGCTCAATTGCAGGCCTAATACAGCCAGAATTATTCAGGCCATGCCCTCTCCTCTAATTGTGAAAGCCTGCAAACATGGTTTCAAGTCTCAGGGCTTTTACCAGCTGTCAGAATTTGGACAGTCAATTCAGCTGGCTCAGTGACTGGAATCAATCGGTTTTGACTGGCTGTTATTTAATTACCCTACTTGTCCAGCACTCAGGGAGGCCTCGGGCCCTGCTCTCTCGTACTGTATCTCTATTTACAGAGCAACAGAAAACATTTCTTTGCAAATGAAGCTTGTTTCAGAAATGGACACTAACCTCTTTTGGGTCATCCCCCATCAGCTTAAACTTTCTTGGAATCTTGCTTCTGGCAAACTTACAACCATTGTAGTACATGCTCCAGGAGCAACCAAAGGAAAATGAAGCACCACAAGTTTCAGGGTCCAGCCCTTGGCATGCACAAGTTCGTCTAAAAGATAAGAGAACACAGCTGTTAGCTGCAGGCAGGTCCCCCTGTGGTGCTCAGGCAGTAGCTATCAGCATTCTGCCAGTGCTCCAGGGAACCAGTGGTGTGGATCATCTTCCAGCAGTAAATAATGCAGAAATGCAAGAGGGAGACATACACATCATAACAGAAGAATTTATCAGAGTGAATAGTTCATGGTTACAAAGCAGGTTCTTTGGGGGTTCTACACTTGTGTGAGAAATCCAGCTTGCCCAGGTGAGGGTATGTTTGTGTGGTGCCTTGTTAGGTATTGACACTCATGGTGCCACAGGGGCTTGTGCTGACAGCACTGCAAGAATGTGGGAGCCCTCTGACAGGGGCTAAGCAATAATTCCTGATACATGACTCTACCCATGAAGTCAAAGTAACATACAGTAATAGCTGTGGTAATTTTGGTCTAAATGTTCTTGTTTCTCAGAAAGACATGGAATGAAGATGCAATTTCTTTAGACTGAGGCTAGTCTGTGCCAGCTTACACAAGTATGATTTAGTGCACCCAGCTTTTATTTCAAGGTTGAAGTATCAGCTATCCTGGCCCCTGCTGAGATCTCTTCTTTTAAATATATTGAGATGTTGCACAGCTCTGATAAAATGTTTGTCCCTATTTATAAGAGTGTTTACTTTGTTTGTGGGTTTTCAGACCACCTGAAATAGCTGGGAATGTTGTAGATGTTTCAGGGTAACAGCATGAGTAGAGGTGCTGGGTCTGAAGGTGGGCCTGCAGGTTTGGTGAGCACAGCTTTTGCTCCACTTACTCTTCATTCAGGGCGCAGCGCCGGTTCGTGAGCGTGCCGTATTTCCTCAGAGTGTCGGTGAGTTCAGAGTAGAGCTTATCAGCCAGGCTGGTTGGGATTCCCTCCCAGACCAGGATGAGGATCACGATGACGGCCGTCTCACATGTGTGTCCTGCTCGCTCGCGCACCAAGCAGAGCAGCTTCTCCTCCTGACTGCTTCTGCGGACTACCTGCATGTACAGCAACACATACCCCAGAGCCCCAACACAAATGATGCCATTCTTAATGTGAAGAGCGAGAGAACAGGAAACCTCAGTGTTACTGTGTGTGGGGGGACATTACTTCTACCTGTGTCCTCCTCTTTGCTTCTGGAAGTTCAGTCTGTTTTTCTCATGGTGATATGCCAGGGCTACCCTTTGTGTTTAATGAATCTGACTCTAAGGGATTGACTGATGGCATGGAAGGCTATGGTGGTGGAAACCAGCTTTGTAAAAATATCCTCCATGCTCTGATTCAGCAGAAATCCTCTCCTGAATCTGTGTTACGGTTGTGGCCCAGATTGATTGGTGAGGAAGAGGAAGTGAGCAGTGAGGTGTCTCCCTAAACAGAGCTGGGTTGCTAGGGCAGGAAGCATGCAGGGAAAAGCAGGCAGTAAGGATAAATAACTGGACACAGGGGCTCTCTCCCCTTCCCTTCCAAACTTCAGCAAATATACTCATAACCAGCCTCACAGTTTTGTGACCCACTCTTATTACATACAAACATTATAGTGTTGGAAGCAGTAGATGTTTTTCAATTAAAGCAGTATCCTTCCAGTAGCATAAGCACTGAGAAGCATTTCCTAAAAAGGGTGCAGTCTGGCATGCATAAAAACTATAATGTAGTTTTTTAGGAAAACTAAATTATAATGTTCCTCATCCTGTCTTTCCCCAGCAATCCAAATCACTCAGTAATTTGTTCCAAAGTACAACAGTGTTTGCTAAGAGGGTGTCCTAACACCTCTCTCAACCTGGGAGGGTATTTTAAAGACATCACAATGGTGAACTTACTGGACTTATTTGTAGCCTAAAACTAAACAGCAATGAAAAAGTCAGGTGGTGCAAAACTTAAATCTAGGCAAACATGCACTTCTTCTTAGGTTTTCATACTTTTAAATTAAATTTTATTCTTGCTATTCTCCATGTAACAAGTCAATGGAATGAGAGATGGCTGGGAGCAGGCTACAGGCACCTCATATTTCTGCTGCTGTTGAGCTATTTTAACTTTCCTAGTGTCAGTTAACAGGACACTTCACTGCTGCCAGCTACATGAACCATCATACTAGACTAGATTAATTTGTTTACATCACTTACCCATTTAGCAATTGGACATCCTTGAGAACTTTTGCCTTCTTTCCCAGTGTAGACAACCCTCTCAATTCTTATAGCTTTACCCTTCTGTCCAAATCTTAAACAAAACAAAAATATGTACAATAAGCAGATTTATTTGGTTCAGTGTGAACACTGAAGAGATGGAGAATATTTGCCAGTCTGATCTTAGAAAATAAACACTGTGAATTACAAGGAAAGATGTGCAATGTGGTTTGTCTTGATGATTTTATTACAGTGGTAGAATGATATATCAAGAGATGCAAATGTCTTTAATACATCCCAGATGGGTAAAAATTATCACTATCACATTAATATTACCAAATATTTTAACCATTTCATTAGAGTATTTGTTATAGATGACATTTTGGAAAGTGGACTTTTTTTAAAATCAAAAGAAGTTTCTTTATTTTGATGAGGAATTTTATATTTTTCTTTTAATTTCTGGGTTGAAGTTGTTTGTGAAATGTACATAATTAAGTTGTCATGGAACAGCTGGCATGTAATAGTCACTCTATTAATTTTCTGTGCTTGTTTCTGTCTTAGTGTGAATCAGTTAAGTCAGAATTAATTTGTATCATATCTATTTTTTTTAATTTTATCATCCATCATAAATTGTTACTTATTTACTTATACTCAATTTCTGTACTCCAGCTAGGATCACAAGGTGCCCTCAAATAACACCATTTGTGTATCTATTTGCAGCCAAGGTGGGCAAGCTCCCACCCAATGGGTGAAGCATTTAAACAAGGGGATGATGCTCTCAAGGCAGGCTCTTGCTCCATGTTCGAGCAATGCTGTGGCCAGAGCAAAAAGGATCCACTTTCCAGGTGGAAATATGTGGCAAATGCCACGTGAAGGATATCTTGACTCAGTGGAAAGTGCTGTATGTGTTGAGCCGTTACCAGGCATTTCTCTGGGATTGCCCACCTGCTGATCCTGGGAGCACACCAGGGCAGGTGTGCCAGGGATCTGCCAGGGCAGAAACCGCAGTATTACAGGCTGAGCCACCCTGGCTGCCCAGCTCTCCTTGGGTGCTGGGCAAACAGCACTTCCATCTCCATTTCTGGAATGCTGCCACTCTCATTGGTGTTAACTTTTAATAGTCAAATGTGGGGACTAACTGAATCGATCTCCTTGTTCTTTGCCTTTTACCTACACAGCAATCAAGGTATGTTCTTGTTATGCAGCTATTTAGTGATGCTTTATGAACTTTTGGCCCTTTTTCCTCTTGTTTTTGCACTAAAATCTTGGTGACATATTTAAGGACCAGTATCTGCATTTAAACTTCTGTCCTGTAAAGGAAATGAAAAATGCTTATTTTTAGATGTGATTTCATTGTGAAGTTCCAGTGTCACAGAAAATCATACAAATTCAAGTTGTACTACAACATCAAAATCAAGTTGTACTACACATGTTCTGCAGGCAACTGTTAGGTCACTTTTTCCTGCTTAGGCTTGGATATTAGTATTTATTTGTTTCTTTAGTTAACCACATTAAAAAAAAAAATTATATCTTAACATTTTCTATCAGTTTTCTAATCTGGATTGCTGGACAACTGTGTGGATGCCTCTGTAGAAGTATGTTGTGCATTATACACTGGAAATGAAATGGACTTCATCCCAAATTTTTTCAGCTGTCAGAAAGGAATTTGTGCCTGATGTTTGTCATGCTTGCCTTCAGGCCAAAGCTGATTGGCTTAAAAACTAGAGCTAATCTACCTGAACAAGAAGTAGGAATTGAGAGAAGGAAGAGTTAAAATGTCTGTATCTGCTGTGGATTCTGCAAGAAATTAGTTCTGCTATAGCTAAAATATTAATTGTAAGTCTAAATCCAAATCCTGGCTTCTTTAGCAGTGCTGATACCTTAACAGTCAATCCATATGCATGGGAAGCCAGGTTAAAAGTGCTTGAGTTGTGATTAATGTCACCAACTGCACATGTATGCTTGACAGTATCCTTATAGTAAAGGGTTTGGATTTTTTTACTTAGGGATGCAAAATTAACTAATGAGTTCTGGAGTTTTTTAGTCAGAGAATTTCATAGTTCATACCATACAGTTGAACACTGGCCATTGTTCAAGTGGCTGCTGCTATACTCTGCTGAAACTGGCTGATTAGTTGCACGTTATCTATGATATCTCATGCTTTCCTTCTGCCAACATGAAATGAAATTAAATTCAAAAAAGAAAAAAAAAAAAGGTGAGGTCAATGTTAAGAATGAAAAATTACTTTCCAAATTAAAAAAACTGAAAAAAATTAATCTCTATAATTGACATTACGACATGAATGACTTTCCTCTTATATTTATTATTTGTAAATACTAAAGAACCAGTTGATGAGAGCTCTAGAGATAACAGATGGTAAAGAATTTCTTCAGAGCATCAGTGTTCACTCTCCCTTCCCAGAAGGAAGCTGAGTTATGTAGCTTACATGCACTTGAGCTGCTGTCAAAGCTGAAAATTACTGGGGCAAGCCGTGCACAAGAGTCACAGGGAAGGAGGTGCTCAGAAAGAGAAAGGACCTTAGGATTTAGTTTGAAGGGTTTAATAGGCTACAAGTGCCCCATGGTTGTGCAGTGATGAGCACAAACTAACAGACCTTGTTAAGAAGTAGTGCTCCTTAGCTCAGACCCAGCACTGCAATAATGCCCACTTGCTTTTGGTTCTGCAGCTAGCTGGAGCTTCACTGCTGTTCTGGAGTCCAGATTTTTAAGGTACTAACAAATTCCCATCTGTCTTTGACTTAACTGAAGAGTTCTTTGTTAGCTTCTTTGTTCAGGGGGGAACTAAATTCCCAGATACCTCTAAAAATCTAGTCATTATTGACTACAAGTAGTGCAGAATTCACAGTGCAGAAGTCACTTTTGTGACAGCTTTTAATTCATATATCTTAGGCTGGTGGGGTTTGTGCTTACACATATTTTTAAACAGCACATATCATGTATCTCTTCTGTGCCTTTAAAAATTCCTGATTTGGTTGGTGTTGATGTAATAGATACACCACAGGATGCAACATGATAACAGGGATTGTCCATAATCAAGATAAGACTGGGTTTGTGCAATACTCCAAGGCAGGGGAATATTTTCTCACAACACTACTTATCAATTCTTGGGCTGAAATCCCATCCAGCAATTTTGTTGCCAGAGGAGAGGCACTCCTCTGGACATGAACGAATGAGATTTAGACATTTAGTAATTTGGTGAGGGGAAACTAATGTTGAAATTTGGTATTCTGCTCTTCATCCTCCTTCTCTGCTGGCATTCTCCTAGCCAGAGGGAACACCAGCTCCATGCCTGCCTTTGCAGCCACTGCCAGCCGCCTTGCTTGGCAGGCTGGTGAGAACTTGTTCCGGCTTGGGTTTGCTGGCATCTGTCTCCCAGGGCACAGCCCGTGCCAGCCAGCAGACTATTAGCCCTGTCAAATATTGTGACTCTCTGGTGAATAGCAGGGTGCGTAATGTTGGCAACACTGGAGTAGCTATGCCTACAAGTAATTACTTGATTTGCAGTTGTTTATTTCTTTATGTGCAAAAGCTGGAAAAATTCTGACATTCCACAAAAGGATAAACGTTAATGTGCTCTGTGCCTTTGCGCTAATTACCTTTCTTCCATGATTTCTCTAATAGCTGCCACATTAGGACCGGCTCCTAGATGGGTATAGAAGGGACCTTCATCTTTTTCAATAATTTGCTCTGTTTGAAACAAAAATAAAGGTTATTACTTTGAAGCTTAATTCTTTCATGTAAAATGTCACATTGCAAAGCTTACCTAGCTTGTTAGAAGGCTGCTGTATGGGCCTGGTGTCAAACACTTAAGTCTAAGGTATTTGCCTACACAGTTTGTACAAAACATGCAAAGCAATGGCTAATCCTGCAAGCAGCCGTGATAGGGACTGTGTGCCCTTCCCTAGCACAAACACTTATTCCACATCTCAGGCTCCACACTGACGTTCACATTGGCGTTTTCCTGTTATCAGCAAACAATTGTTTTTCCTTCTCCCACTTCCTCCTCTCCCAGAATATAGAAAGGAGGATAATGGGATAACAGTGGTAAATATTGATATTAGGGAGCTGTACCGTACTTGTTTTTCAGCAGACACGTTACAGTGCAGGAACTTACAGCTTGAAAAACTGGCCACTAAAGTTACACAGAGAATTCCTGCCACCCACGGAAAAACTGTGAAATGAAAAAAAAACCCCAAGTTTGCTGGAAAAATTAATGCACAAGGCCTGGTCAAAACCCTTGTATGCCAAGAATGTGGCCTCAGTTTTCTGTGTGTAGGTAGGACCATATCAGCAGTCACAATACATGCTGTATGTTTGGTTTGGTACCAGGAAGCATGCTCCTGCTGTGTGAAAGAAGTGGCCAGGCCCTGCTTGGGTTCAGGAGATGGTGGAGCTGTGCTGGCTGATGTCTGAATGCTGACTTGATGCTTTCTAACATAACTTGATGCCATGCTAACTCCAAGGGCTGGATGGGTGGTGCTGCTCTTGACAGACAGCCTCTGGAAGTATGATGAAGGTATGGTATAAATCTGAACGTGTCAGTGGGGAATGGCTTAATTTAATCTTCTTAAGGACAATATTGATAAGAAAGAGCAATAAACCTATAGATTATGCTGTGGCACTGTGTTCTTCAGAGAGTTTCATACTCCTATATTTCCTCCTGTCTGCTAGGACTGAAGAATTAAAATGTAAATGGAGAATAAGTTCTTAAGTGTGCTTAGTGGTTTCAATATGAAAAAAAAAAAAAGTGAGGATAAGGAAATAACTGCCAGAAAAACTCGTGCTAACTATATGGAAGAAATAATATTAAAAAACTCCAACAAATGACAACTATGTGATCAAAAAAATCCCTACATTTTGAAGGTTGTTTCTTATAAAACAAGGAACAGCAAGGAACTGGATTCCAGAGTTCTTCCTGGGAGCTCTAGAAATAGACTACTTCCTGATTTTGTTCCCACATGTCTTCTCTGAGACATAGCCCCAACATTCAAAAAGGCAAAAAGGTCCATTTTGTATCTTGGAGGAGCATTGATTCAGCTTTCCTCTTTTATAGTCGATACAAAATCCTAGTAACTGAAACTGTAACAAGGATTTTTATTTTCTTCTCGCTTTTGGTGAACCTTATGTCTCAGCCTGAATAGTTTATCCAGTAGATATCCAGTAGAGTCTGAAAGTTCCTGTTACACTTGGCTACATGCAATGTCAGTACTGTATGAAAACTTGGGCTGGGGGACCATGCCTGTAACTCTGCTTCCCCCTGCTCTATTTTTCCAGCTCTTGGAGATAGGGTTTGCCATCAAGCAACAAGAAGTGTCGCCCCACTTTTTTTTCGTGCTGCTTGTGTAGCTTCTCTATGAAACTGTGGATCTCTTGCACATGCCTGAAAAGGAGGATAAACTCTTGCAATAAGTGAGGAATAATCTGACATCTGTTTTCGCTTAGGCTTTACTAAGGGAACAATTTCACTGTTAGAGAAAAAAATGCCCACAAGGCTCTAAAGTTTTGGACCGGGATTGTTTTTTTAAAAGCTGTATCTAACCTTGACAAATAAATCAGGTCATAAAATTATGATCTACTTTTTATCAGTATGTTGTTGTTACATGTCTGCTGCTCAAGGAGAATGGATATGAGGCCATAAGCATTCTGACTGAAAAATCAAATAGGTAATTGATTTATGAAATAATGAGAAAGGCCCATGTGTAGGGTTGGTAAGTGGAGTAGGCATAAGTGTGTAAAATCCCAGTTTTATAAGTCTTCACTAATAACTGTTCTTAAAAATCCCTCAAAAAAATCTAGCAAAAACATCTAACTAACCCTGTGATCCTAACTTGAAGGCTCATTTCCTTCCTGTGAGCTATTATGTTTTTAGTACATCTCAGCACTTACCAACACAGCTGCAAGATGGGAAATCATACTGGGTTTTGGCAGGTGTGTCCAATAAATTTTTTACAGGAGTATCCAATAACTTGGAAGGTGAGTCTAAAAAATTATTGAGAACAGTTCCAGCTGTTCTTTTGGTCGGGGTTTTCTCAGCAGACAAGTTTGCTTGCTGATCTAAGATTGGGGTTTGAGTGTCAAAATCTGCAGCACTGGTATTTCGTGATAGGATGGTAATAGGGCCTGCTGTTTCGACCTTCACATGTTTGGGTGATTTGAGAGTAAATGTCTTATGATCAAACAGTGATTTGACCTGTATCTGTTTTAGCTGCTGCTCCATTGTCTCAATGATGCTCTTTTGTTGCATGTTCTCGCAGACAAAGTGCTGATTCTCCTGTTTAATTGTTTTTTTCCACATTTTGTTTTCCAGCTGTCCAGCTGATGGGCGCATGCAGACATTAGACTTTGTACCAGCCTCAATTTTTATAGGCTTGCGTGCTGCACTGGGACCAATCTCAGTTTTGGGTTGCTGGTATGCTTGTTGCTCCTGTTTTTGCAAAAGATGCCACCGCAGAGCAGCATGCTTTTGAAAATCCTTAGGGTTCTGAGACTGCAAATGACAGCCTCTCTGGTCCTGGGCATGTGGGGCAGTTTGGCTGTGTGGTAAGTACTGCTGAGGGATCTGTGGAGCTTGTTTGCTCGGGAGGTCTTTGTTCAGACTAGCACCATAGCCCTGTGAGGGCTGGAGGGGTGGCAACTGCAGAATTGAGGCTTGTTGTGTCTGTTGCTCTTGTTCTTGAAAACAATGATTCACATCTTGCTTTGCGGTCAAGTTATTTGAAAAATACTGCACATGCTGCAATTCCTGCATTTTGTTGGCTCCAAAGCGTTCCATATTTGTGACATTCCCTTTCTTCTCAGAAATCAGATGCCTGTTGTTTGGGCAAGGGTGCTGGAGACTGGCATTTGCCTTCTGAGTGTAAAGGGGAGCTTTGTTGTTCATAGACTGTACCTGCTCTAGGCCCAGCTGAGTGTTAGGCAGTGGGAATGCAGCTGATTTAGCATACTTACTCCCAGTTTGGAAACATTCATCTACCTTAAGTTGATTGAAGGAGGTCCTGTCTAGAGGCTGCTCAGAATTGCTTTGGGGGTGGGATACGGCTTGGGGCAGGTCTTTAGTTTTCATTTGCGGAGCCTGCTGCTGGTTTGGGGTTAGCTGTGGACTGCATGGCAGCTGCACTGGATGTGCCTGTTTTTGCAGCATCTGTTGCAAGATGTGTGAATGCAAGAATTGCCCGTTTTCCCCTGGCTGGGGATTCAAGTGCTGCTGTTTCAAGGGGGCCCCTAAAGGCTGTTCAGCTTGTTGTTCTGATCTTGGCTGGAAATGGAGCTGCTGTGGAGGGTGTTGCTGCACTTGGGACTTGAGAAGGGAATCTACCTTTGTGAGCTGTGGCTGCGGTGAGTGTTTCTGGAACGGCAGCTGCTGGTCAGCTGGGGGATGCGGCTGCAGCTGGGAGCTCTCACTTTTGTACAGTGAAGGAAATTGTTCCTGTTGCATTATCTTCTGGCTCTGGGCCTGTCCTGAAGGCCCCTTTAATGAATCAGGACTTCCAGCATACTGTTTTGTATAGACTGCTTGGGCTGTGCTTGCCTGGTACTGAAGAATTGACCGCAATAATGCTTCACTGGGCTTCTGGGGAGGTTCTCCCTGGCGGAACTGGGTGGAAACCAGTTCTATCCAGCCTGGTTTTGAATAATGTTGAGCTTGTTGTACAGGCTCTTTCACTTGGTCCTTCTCTTTGTCAGGAGGAGTCTCAGGTTCTCTCTGTCCTGGGAAATGCTGATAGTGTTGTTGCAACTCACCCTCACTTTTGTGTGCGTGCAGGTTTTGGAGGGGAGATTCTGACGCCAGCGTCACTTCTTTGGGGCGCTGCAAAATCGAGGCGGCCACAGCAGCTTGCGGGTTGCTTTCACTGACATCTTGTTGTGACATTTGTGCCTGTTGCAGAAGGCTCTGCTGAGGGTGAAGTTGTTGTTGGCTGAGGCTGGGACTTTCTGACATTGGTCCCTCCTGTTGCCCTTCATTTTTTATCTCCCCAGGAAGAGTTTCATCACATCTGCTGTCATAGGAATGATGTCCTTCTTGCACCGCGGCAGACAGTGCACTGTTCATTTCTGGAGCAGGAGTGGTGGAGGAATCTTTGTGAAACATTGAGTTCTGTGTAAAGAAAGCACCATTATTTTCTGCTTGCTCAGAGTACCTTTCCAGAGCAGTGCTCTGAGCTTGCAGGTTACTGCTGGAACTTAGAGAGAGGTCTTGGTTGGGAACCTGCCCTATGCTTCCATGAATATTACTGTTTCCTACAGGTAACTGGTGAGGATCATAGCCTGGAATCTGTTGTTGTAGCTGTAGATCTGGTTTCTGAAGTGAACAGCTACCTGGCAATACAGGTGGTTTACTGGAGTCTGTTGTGTTGTAGACCTCAGTAACCACTACAGCTGGCACTTGAGGCAGCTCAGAGTTTGAGGTCTGTGGGGAAGTGATCTGCCCTGAGGTATGGGATGAATGTGTTGTCTCGTAGGACAACTCGTTAGTAGCCTGACTGGTAATGGCATCTATATGAGATGTGTTCTTCTGCATTGCTATGGAAACATGTTCTGGATAATACTGAGACAGTGTTTTCTCCAGGAGTTCACCATGCATGCTTTCCATGGAAGAGGCAGAAACTGTAGCACCATTAGGCATTGGCACTGCCTTGTTCTTAAGTAGTAAGACAATGTCCCTGTTATGGCAATGAATATTTTCCCGCTCCTGCTCATTCTGAATCGGAAGGTCATGAGGGTTTTCTGAACCAACGCTGTTGTATCTTGTAGACGGTATTAAATCTGAAGCTTTGTTTTCTTGTCTTGTAAAACTCTCAGATTTCTTCTCACTGTAACAATTGGAGACACTTGGTTTTTCACAATTGTCTTCTGGCTCAGCTTTTTCTCCGTTTACCTCTTTGTCTTGTTTCACTTTCTTGCTCTCATGAAGTCCATACAGAGAGGGCTCGCTAAAAGTGCGTTTGATCCCACCATTTTGCATATATTTGGAATATACTTTCTTTTCTTGTAAAAGGTCAGGGCTAACACAATTGTTTGGACTTCCCTTCGGGTGGGGCACTCCAAAGTTGCTTTTATTGAATAGCGGCTTGTGCTCTCCGTTTACTTCCACTTCAGGCCTCTCTGTTGCTGGACTCCCATTCTGTAGCTTCACTGCAGAAGGCTCTGCCTGGCAAACGTGAGAAGACTGTGGTATTAGAAATGGACTCAATCTATTGCCGTCAACATGGTTGGTTCTGTCCTGTTCCATCTGGCCTGCTCCGGGGCCATCCACAAGGCTACCCTCTGAACGTATCTGAAAGAGAAAAGGAACAAGGAAAGAATCTAAGTCAGTTTTAGTTTCCATTGAAGGACAGACAGTTACTGACAATTCTTCCACCACTCAAGAACCCCTTGCCTTGACCAGCTCCCAAACACATATGAACCTGCAAGCACACCCAAGGGGTGTTTCACTATCCTAGTGCATCTTGCACCCCCAGGTCTCCCTTTTTCTTAAAGGTTTGTTCTTCAAGATGAAAAGAGAGTGAAAATACCGAGTGACTTCCTTACCCCCATATGACACACAAGAAGGTATTTTACCAGAAGAAATCTCTCGTAGTGGTGCAAAAATATTGTTTGCTTTTGAATGATTTGCACAGACTCCTCTGTCATCACATTTTGCCCTTGGTAAGGCAGAAAGTCATGTTGAAACTATGGTTCCTAGACTTGGTCCTAATCCTGTAATTTGATTTAGTGTGCCAAACCTCTTTTGTCTGACTTGGAGTATCGCCACCAAGTTTCCAATTAGAGGGGAAAACCTTTTTTTTCTGCCCTCAGCTGTCTGACAGGGTCTTTTTAAACTGGAATTCCTAAAGACCATGCAAGTGGCACAATACACAGGACAAAGTCATGCTTGACTGCTGTCCTCAGGAACTCATACAGCTCATCAACAGATCAGTAATGTTGACAGAAATAGAGTGATTTATTAAAGGTTTGATAGAAATGCTTTTTTTCAGGTATCAATATCCTTTCAAATTTATATATAGGCATCAAGCACGGCTTAAACTCTGCATTGGGTTTTGAATTGAGCTCTTCAGCTGTGGAGCCAGGATTTTTTTACTCTTTTTTAGTATGGGAAATCCCATTTTCTCATATACTCTTTATTTACAAAGAGAAGTTTTTAGCTAGATAAAAGTACTGACAATGTGCAGTGAGCAAATTCCATACAATGACAAGCTAATCCTGTTCACATGCATCTTCCCAGAATTCACAGACCCAGTTAACATACATAAAGCCTTTGTTTGACTCTGCATTATTTATTCTTTGTTGGTTTATGGTTCTCAACCAGTCACAAATGACAGAAAGCAGACTGACAGTGGGTCTTACTGATATGAAGTGGCACAGAGAAAATTTGGACATATGCATGTCTGTTCTGAAGCTTTTATTTTTGGTTTGCATTAAGGAGAATCTGAAGGGTTTTCCATTACCAGGTAAGCTGTGCTTGGACTGCAGTCAGGAGAAGCATTACATGTGGCTGGTATTGCCACTACATAGGAGGAACTACTGTACTGAAAAAATTCTCCCATCACGGTTGCTCTGCTTATGTATTTATCCTACATTAATATTTTTATGTTATTAAAATGTAAATTTAGATGTTATTTAAATGTAATTTATATAGTTTTCAGTGCAGTATTGCTGTACTCAGTTTAGTAATATCATTCCAAAATGCTTTTATAACTAATATTAATTCATTAAATACATTGCATCCAGCAGAATTCTCGCTGCTTGCACCTCTGATTCCAGTAGCAGGACAATTCAAATGCACATTTTGACCAGCAAGCACCTATACGATAACTTGTATTCATTTCCTTCGATTGCTAAACTTGTTTTTAGATTTACTTTTGACCTCCTGAAGTTCGGGGTTTTTTTCTTTCTTTACTCAATTTTTCATTTTTTATGTTTTTTTATAACAGAAGTAGAGAAGTTCTTGCTGCAAGAGTAACAGTACTTTAAAAAAGAAATTTTGCAGGGAAAGCTAAGAACAGGGAGATGGAAAAATATGTTTGTCAGTCTTGCCTGGGTTTTTTTTACATGGTAGTGTAGGCTTATTCCCTTCTAGAGGTCTTTCCCACCCTAGCTTTATAGTACCACAAGACATGAGCCTTTGTAGCTTTCCCAGGGAGACAATGTTCCATGCTGAGCAGAAAGCTGTGTGAATAGGATTCCTCTGATGTGTCATTCTAGGCCAGGCAGCAGGAAGATGCTCCTGGAGTGTCTCAAAAATAAAATGCCAGACTAATTTGGAAGCCATTCTTTACCTTCACACCTTTCATTCCTAAAAACTGCAGGTGAACCACAGACATGAGTGTGTAGGCTGCTGCATTTCACAAGTATGAAATGAAATAAAGGGCACCATAGTAATTAACACTGTGCTGTCAAGCTGCTTCTAAAAGATTTATTTCTTTAAAAAGTTTTAGTCTGCGCGACTAAGCTGTGAGAAACTTTGTCTGGCCCTCAAAGTCTGCCTTGCAGCTTTTTTTGGTGTAACCTGTGGGTTGCAACCAAATTCCTTCTGAGAATTCCCAGGCAATCTTTCTTCCTCAACTCCTTACTATCTATAAGATAAACCCACCATTTTCTTTAGAAGTAGGGGCTCCCTGATTTCTCTAAACTTAGCTTGAAAACCCCTCAAAGGAGCACATCTGTGGTCAGAACAGAGTCTTAGGTTCATGCTGTCCTCAAAACCCACAAAGTTACCTTGTGAGATGAATTATCGTTCATGGCATTCTTAAAGATCTCACGGTATGTACCCTCAAATTCTGACCACTTTCAGTTAAAAAGGCACTGGTGTTAGATGTTGCAGAGAACTTGGGAATCATTTGGTTCTTCAGAATACAAAGTTAATTCATGCATTAAAAGTGCCAGATTTGCATTCTTTGAAATGCATCTAGGATGGGGGTGACTTTGCATTATACTTCTTTCTCTCTCTATCTACACTCAAGTTATTCATTATCCTCAAGACACACCTGAGTAAAAATCTTCCTCAAGCAACTACAAATCACAGCAAATGTAAAATAATGTAATTTGTAATGTAGGACTGGCAAAAAAATAAATGGCCACAATATCTTTATTACTGGTTTTAACTGGGACACCATGAAGTAGTACTCTTCCTTGCTTGCACCTTAAAAAGTCTTTGTGGTCATCCTTACAATCATTGTGGGGTGAACTCTCTACCTCTCAAAGTAAATCTACCTTCCCCCAAGTGCAGCAGTTATTCTTTTTAGTCTTTCCCATAGCTGTATTTTATCCAGACCATTTAGAAGCTCCACATATTTTTCTTCAGCTATAATTCATTAGAAATTCAAGTCACATCAGCAGCATCTGTGAAACAATTACTGCATCTAGGACTGACTCTGCAGTCTAATCCATCATAATTATGACTGGCCTCTTTGAAGATGCCACGATGCGTGACTTAAATATAGCACATTACTGTGCAAATGGATCAGCATCTCATCCCATCAATATGCATTCAAGCTATATTTCAGACTGCCACTGTTTGACTCTTTCAGACACAATCGATGTATGTACATTTATTTCTTGTTGCACACAGGGCACAAACTGGAAACTAGGCACTGAATGAGAGCCTGAGTGTTTTTGTTGTTTGTTTTATGGACTAGTCTGGCATATTCCTGCCACCTCTTATCAGTGTACTGTGGAAGGTGTTAGAAGTACAACAAGACATTTCTGCAGCATCAGAAGTTGTGCCATATTTTTTCCACAGAAAATCTTTCTTCAGTTTTAGCTAGTTCTGGAGGTTCATAGCTTATTTTCTATAGCACCTGTGTCTGGGGAGTTTGTGAATGCAAAGCAGCTCAGATGAATGAACGGATAAATACACCCACTGTAGGGGAATAAAATCTTCTGCAAAACTGGGAAAGATTCCCAGGAGAAAAAGTAGGTGGGGGAACAGCTGTGGTAGAGCACTTGTGGACCTAAAAGGACCAAAAGGTGGGATGTCAGATGGGTTGTTTCCCCTTCTGGGGTTAGCTGGGATAGACATTTATCTCCTCAGAGGTTTTTTTCCCCAGCAGAAATACACATCCTCAGATCAAAATCTCAGCTGACTTGTGCTCAACTGATTATCAGTATGACACTCAGGAAAGCAGAAGTCAGATACCCAGAAGCTTTTTGATGCTCACTGGGTTGTTCCCAGAGTGTTGCCACAGTCTCCATCCTGCTGGCACCCTTCTGCCACTGCCAGATGACACAGAGGTCTAAATTGCTCCCAGACAAGAAACCCCTCCAGCACTTTCTCAGCAGGAGGTGAATTTGCCCATATGTCTTGCCAAACTCCAGTTTGGTAAGTTGTTCTTTCTGCTCCTGTTGTGTCTGTGTACAGTAGTTTGCTTCACTTGCAGCTATGTATTCATATGTGCTGTTGTGTGGTTGCATCTCTCTTCTGAAGCTCATGCCTCTGGCGAAGAGTTATAAATAGTGAACTTGCAACATGTGAAAAAACTCCTGAAGTTAGAGGTTTGGGTTTTTTCCTATTTCACTAATGAATGAAAATTTGAGAAGAGGCACAAGTGATTATTACTTAGGTAAGGGCACTCATGGATGACATTGTCAGAAATTTCTGTTCTAAAACCTTAAATCTTCTGGACTTGCATACATGCAAAATTGTTTCTGATTAACATTCAGAAACTTCTTTAACATTGGAACAAGATATGTAAGCAGTTACAGTGACACTTAACACCAAGATTTGATATTATGGGATATGATTCCCTGGCCTAGCTGAAGACCAGTTGCTGCAGCTGTGCCCTGGGTTAACACCTGTAAGCAACTGCCAGAGTCCCTAGAGGAGAAAAGATGTGCAGTGAACTCAGATGGCTAAGGGGTGATGTAACACTTCAAAGCTCCTTATTAGTAAGACATTTCCATTATTGCTGGGATAAAAAGTTGAACACATGTGGTATAGTTTAAGGATTTCCTATATGTTTTGCACTTAAAGTACTGTAGTTTATACACAGAGAAACAACATGACCTTAGAGGACAGGAGAGGCAAGACCAGGACAGCTTCAAGAGAGATTGCATTCATACCCAAGGTGAACTGAGGCTCAGAACCCCACAACATCCCCTAAGGATTTCCTCTGCTCCTTACCAACATCACTGTTGCCACACTGAATATGTGGTGGCTGAGGAAAACACAGTGAAACTCCAAGGCAGATATAAAGGAGGCTCCAGAAGGACAAGGACACTGTTGTTGGCTGGGCTCTATGGCTTACACTAGGGTACTTTTGCACTACGTTCAACTGTCTCTTCATTTTGATAGCTT